TTTTTTTTTTTTATGCTGGATCTGGGGTTTGAATTCAGGGCTTTGTGCTTACACAGTTGGTACTTTTGCTCTGATTATTTTGAATATAGTGTCTCCTGAACTACTTGCCTGGGCTGGCCTCAAACTGCAATCTTCCTGATTCCAGTCTCCCAAGTAGCTAAGATTATAGAGGTAAACCACCAGTGCTGGGCTCCTTTTCTCTTAAAGGTTGAGATATCTCTCATAAAGCTCAGTTTCAACAACTCTATGAGTTAAGCTCCCCAACTCACCAGCCTTGAGGACTGTGGGTTGGAGAGAGCCCTGGGTTCTGTGTAGTATTAAAACAGATGTCCCTCTAAGCACCAGTGGCCCATGCCTATAATCCTAGCTACTCAGGAGGCAGAGATCAGAAGGATTGTGATTGAAAGCCAGCCCAAGCAAATAGTTTGCAAGATCCTACCTCAAAAATACTCAACACAAAACAGGGATGGGTAGGTGACTCAAGTGGTAGGGCCACTTGCTTGCTTAGCAAGTGTGAAGCCCTGAGTTCAAACCCCAGTGCTGCAAAAAAAAAAATTTTTTTTAATTGCTCCCAATTCCCCAATAGAGGCTCTGCCCAGGACAAAGTGGGATGTGGAAAGTTTTGTGATGTCCTGATTGAGCCTTCTGTTCCTATATCATCCCTGTTTTCTCAAGGTTTTGGTCCTCTGCCATTTGGTTGTGATACTTCTCCTGATCCAGCTCCACACTTGGAAAGCACCTGAGGAAGACAGATGGGCTCCATCCTCAGAGGGCTCCTCTTCCCCTGAGACTCACTTCACTTATTCTGTGTAGCTCCACTTTCCACTTGAGAAAAGCAGAAGTAAGTTGGAGAGTTCCAGAATCAACTCTGATGACTCCCCACACTTCCCTGTTCTTTTTCTTTCTCCTTTAGCAGAATTCTTGATGTGCATACAGGGACACTGGTCCTGCATCTGTGAATTCAATCAACATCAGTTTGCAAGTATTGTGAAAAACAATAAAAAAGTTACAGCATGACAATAAAAATAGTATAAATAAAAACCACACAGTATAACAACTACTTACATCACATTTACATTGTATTAAGTATTATAAGTGTCTAGAGATGAGTGAAAGTTTGTAACAGGATGTGTATACATTAAATGCAAATACTAGGCTGTTTTATATAAAGGGCTTAGTATTGGGGGGATGGTTCCTGGAACCAATCTCATGTGGATTCCAAGGGATGGTTGTACACCTGCCAAATAATCATCACAATCAAGATAATGAACATCTTCACTCCCCACCAAAGATTCTCCTTGTCCATTTGTAATCCCTCCCTCCCAGCCTCTTCCTCCTCAGCCTCTAGCCCAGGAAACCACTGAACTATTTTCTTTCACTATTGATTAGTATTCCTTGTCTAGGACTTTGTATAAATACAGTGATCTTATATGTACTATTTTCTTCTTTTTTTATGGTGGTTGGTTTCTTTCACTCAGTATAATTATTTTGAGATTCACCATGTTATTACATATATCAAGAGTTCATCCTCTTTATTGTGCTGAATAATATTTCACTGTATGACTATCCCATAATTTGTTTATCCCTTTATCTGTTGTTGTTTCCAAGTTTGGCAAAATTACAGATAAAGCTTTCATGAACATCTGTGTCCATGTGTTTGTAAGGATATGTGTTTTCATTTGTCTTGGGTAAATACTAGGGGTGCAAGGGCTCGATCATAAGGTATGTATACATGTAACTTTTGAGAATATGCAAAATGGGCCCAAGAAGAGGCTATGCCATTGCACATTTCCACCAGCATTGTATGATGATTCCACTTCCAATATGTCATTGCCTGCACTTGGTGTCTGTATTTTGAATTTTAACTAATTTAATAGCTCCTGATGATAATTTTCCTCAGTCGTAAGGAAGGATGACAACATGTGGTTTAAGATAAATGGATGCCATTGGATGACATCATGTTAACAGAAGTTAGCCAAGTTCAGAAACATAAAGACCATATGTGTTCTCTCACATGTGGAAGATAAATCCAAAAGATAAACATATACACAAAACAAACAGGATCATATACAAATGTATATGTAGAACATATTTGTAATAGTGGAACTACACTGTGAAACTTGGGGAAGGAGGAATGAAAAAGGAATGATAGAGTATCAACAATATCATAATACATAACATCTGTGAAGATAGAAGATATAAGGATATGTATTGAAAGCTGTTGAAAAATGGGGAGTAGCTACAACTGATGAATGGATCAAGAAAATTAGTATATACACACAACAGAGTTTTACTCAGCCATAAGGAATAATGACATGTGGTTGGAAAATAAATGGATGCAATTGGAGGACATCATATTAAGTGAAGTAAGCCAGGCTCAGAAAGACAAAGGCCACATGTTTTCTCTCATTCATGGAAGATAGATCCATGAGATAAACACATACACAAAAACAAACATGATCATGCACAAACTCATATGTAGAACACGTTTGTAATAGTAGAAATACTCCAAGGAACTCTGGGAAGGAGGGAAAGGAAAAGAGAATGACAGAGCATCAACAACATTGTAAGACATAGTATCTGTGAAAGGAGAGGATATAGGGATATGTATTGAAAGCTGTTGAAAAATGTAGGGTGGGAGGTAAAAGGCTAAGAGAGGGTAATGGAAGGGGTTCGACAGACCAAAATAAAGTAGACTCACAGGGGGATACGTCAAGAAACCCCTTTGAACATCAACTTAGAAATTAATGAAGAAAGGCAGGTTGTAAAATAGGTACAGAGTCAGGGGGTTCTTGTGGAAGAGGGGAGAGTGCAGGAGATGAAGGTGAGGGAACATGGTTGATGGACGTGATAAGAAACCTCTTGTAATTGCTTTAAATGGGTAGGGAGGGGGTCAGGGAGAGAGATGGAGAGAGCTAACCAATGTACAATGTAAGCCTTTTTGGAATTGTCACATTGAATCCCCCTGTACAACAAATATATCCTAATAAAAAATATGTAAACAAATGAGTGCTGCTAATCTCAATAAAACTTTATTAAAAAAAATAACTCCTAATTATAATGTTGAGAATCCTTTTACTCACTCAATATATATATTCCTCGGTGAAGTGTCTGTTCAAATGTTTGCCTATTTTTTTTATTGGTTTCTTTTCTTCTGAGTGAGTTTAAAGAAATTTTGCATACTTTGGATGGGAATCCTATATCAGAATATGATTTGCAGTTCTTTCTCCCAGTCTGTACCCTATCTTTTCATTCTCTTAAAAGCATCTCCTAAAAAACAGAAGCTAATTTTAATATAGTCCAATTTGTCAATTAGTTCTATGAGCTGATATTCTTTAGGGTTTATGGGGTATATGTGTGTAGGTGTATGTACAACCATATATGTGTGCTCATTTCTCTAAATTCATGATGTTGATTTTGATAGACTTAAAGAAGGGGCAGAGTGCAAATATGTCTTTTATGTTATTATTTCAGGAAGTGCAATCTATTTAAAACAATTGCTCTGCATAAACTTTAAATGGAAATATGGTAGATTTATAAAATGGACTGTTTCTGTGACAGGCGAAGTCTCTGAGTTAGGCAACATCCACAGTGCGCCCAATGATCCTCATGTTCTATATTCAATCCCCTGTGTACCTCTTCCCACACTGACTCATGACCAGTGTCGGATAATATATTGAGGAAATGATAATGTGTGAGTTCCAACACTGAATCATAGAAGACATTGTACCTTCAGCCTTGGCCTCTTGCATTGCTTGCTTCTCATGGAAGCCTGACACCATGTTGTAAAGATACTCACATAACAAAGAGCTGAAACATCTTGCCCACAACTTTTCTGCCATGTGACTGCGTCACTTAGAAGATACTAGAGATCCTCCAGGGTCAGTCAGGCCATCAGATGCCTTCAGCCCCAGTGATACCCAACTGCAAGCTCAGGAGAGACCTTAGCCAGTAGCACCAAAGCCAAGCCATGCCTATATTTCTGTTCCACAGAAGCTGTGAGAGATAAAAATGCCTATTGTTGTTTTTCAGCCACAAAGTATTGAAATGATGTATTCAGGAACAGTAGATACATCCTTCCTGGCAGGATGACTGTGTCACAGCTGGTGGGCCCATCAAGGTCCTGTGGAAGAAGTAAAAAAGCTCCAAGAAGTGAGACCTGATGGTAGGGCAATATATCCAAGAGGTCCAATGTCACTCTTCCTGACCTTGGAGAACAAAGACAACAATTCTTCTAGTCAGCACAGCAATGCTTAATAAGAAGCCATGTCTGTGAAGCTCTACTCAGAAGTCTTAGCATGTCAAGGTAAAATGGTCTTCTACATTGTCAACCTCCAAGGACTTCTTGGGTCAGGATGGAGACATTTGCACAGATTGCAACTCTGGAGTGGGGAAGACCTGTTGCCCCATTCATGGGGCTAACTATGTCATGGCGGGCCCTTACAAGTCTTTGAGAATAGAGTGGCTGTGGAATGACAGAGAAGGAGTCTTGAGAGTACTCACCTCAAGGGAGGAAAAGTGTAATATACCAAGGCCTAGTGTTGAAAGACCAGCTGCTGAGCCTTTAACTGAAATCTGTCTCCAGGCTGGGTCTAGACACATATGCAGAATAGGCAGGAAAGGACTCTGAGGCCAAATGTTAATAGTTGTTTCTGTAAACTCTGACAAAAGGGAGCCCAAGCAGCACCTATTTTGTGCTTTCCCAGAAGCAAATAACACAATTGGAAAACAAAAATTCATGGGCACTGAGTATCCACTAGACACTACTATAAATACTTGGCCAATCCATCAACTCACTAAATCCATTAACCCTTCACAGTCCTTTGAGGTTTGGTACCACCACCAAATCTATTTCATGGACAAGGAAGTAGGCAAAGAAACAGGAGGCAGGTCAAGTGACCAGTAAGCAGTGCATCTAGGTTATTAGATCAGGGTAGTGGATGTCTTCAGTAGATGCACACTGGGCCTTTTGGATGTCAGGTCTCGTTCTCCCACTGCAGGTCTGCCACAGAACCCAGGTGGATTTGGCTCACGTGGACCAATGACCCCGTCAACATCGTAAGGGCAGCCAGAGTGGCTAATGCCAGAGAACCCTTGGAAATACTCCAGAGCTGGCCAGATGACCTCCTCCCACTCCATCCCCCTCCCCCCATGAGCTACCGGTGGGACTACTACTGTGGCTGGGGTAGCCGAGCCACAGAGATTCGCCACTTCCCAGGATCTCAGATAGGAGGAACCACAAAGTGCACTTGCAGTGAGGGGTCCCACCCAGCCTCCCCACAAACCCGGTGCACCCTTGCAGCCTCGGCCTGCGCGGTTGGGTGGCTGGCTCAGTCCACTGGGGGTCTGTCCCCACCACCCCATCGGCTTGTCTTTCCAAGCTCTGTGCTTTTGCAGGGCGGCCTGGAGACAGGCCAGGGTCTCCGGGCCTCCTCAGCAGTCAAAGTGCCAGGCAGCACAAGTCCTACCCATGCCTCTTGGTTTTCTCATCAGTGTTACTTGTTCACATCAGTGGAAGCGGGACGCAGCCACGGCCCAGCATCACCTGGAGCCAGGTGAACGAGCATCCGAGCATCCAAGCATCCAAGCATCCTCCCAGCCTCTGCTGACCTCCTGCCCGCTCTGCAGTTGAGCCACACCCCAGCCTTTCCCCAACCCCTTCTGACGTCTGCAGGGCACCAAGCTCCGAAGCTCCAGCTTCCTCCTACCCACTTGTCAGGCTGGTGGCTTCCACTGTGCAGCTGTCACTGTGGGCGGGGTGGAGAGTTGAGAGCGTCAAACTAAGCCAGGTGGGAATGGAGAACACTGGTGAGCACAGGGATGGATCGGGTTCGATTTGGCAATTGGAGCCAATCAAAAATATTCTTCAGGAAAGTGGAAATCTGTGACACTAAAGACAATGAAGACCCCTCAGGACAGGAGAAGCCTTTCCTTGGAACTACTTGGAATTTTCTACATAGACCAATCATCTATGAGTATAGACACTTCCTTCCAGCCTAGGAACTCTTTACTCATTTTCCTGCCTGTTTGCCTACAGCCTTCATTTCCATATTGATGGAAGTTCTGAGAGCTGGTATCTTTTTGCCTTATTCATGACAATAGGATGAAAATATTAAGTCTTTCACCAGTGTGAGGTTTCCTGTGTTTATTTTTGTAAATGTCCCTTATCAGGTTGAAGATATTCCTTCCTATTCTTAGTTTGCTGAGAACTTTTATTTTATCAGGAATAGGTACTGGGTTTTTGTAAAGTATTGCTGAATAAAGACCACGCCACGTGTGGAAAAGAAAGATTTATTGGAACCAGACCGCAGGACTGTCACTCTTTCAGGTTCAGAGTGCAGTGGTTTGGCTGAAAATGGGTAGTGGGCTTTATAGGAGGGGCCAAGCCATGGGGGAGGGAGGGAGTCTCTGGTGTCCGACTATCTGCGATCACCAGATGGAACAGGTGGACATGCCTGGCTAGTTGAGTAACTGGAAGTTCCTGAGGTGGTTTTCAAGCTGAGAAACAATCAGGCAGGGAAATAAGCAAGGGAGAAGCAAGTGGTCATAAATCAGGGGGTCTGGTTTCGGTGCTAACCTCGGGACCTTCCACCCACCCCAAGAATGCCAGGGACCTAACAGTTTTGAAATATGCCTTTTGTTTTTCTTTTCTAGGTTCTTGAAAAGAACATGCTTGCATACATGTTTTCATGTGTCATGCTCACATCAGGGTAAGTGTAGCCAATTTCCTCAAACATTTATCATTTCTTTGTGGTAAAAACATTCAAAATCCATTCTTTTAGCTTTTTTTGAAGTTTACAGTTATTTATTGTCACCCAACTGTGCAACAATTTCTTTTCAGTATTGGGGATCAACCCAGGGACTCGAGCACAACTTCTATACTACTGAGCTATACCTCCACCATACTAATGTGCAACAGAACACCAGAACTTATTTCTCCTGTCTAACCAACTGTAACTTAGTATCTTCCCACCCCCATCCCTTTACTGAATTTGAACACAGGGTCTTGTGCTTGCTAAGCAGTCGCCCTACCATTTAAGCCATGGTAGATCCTCCTACCTATGGCTACCATTTAGATGGAGATCCTCCTACCTATGGCTGCCCTTATAGCTGTGGTCACTACCATACCTGGCTTGTTGGCTGAGATGGAATCTTGCTAAATTTCTTGTCTAGGCGGGTCTCAAGCAGTGATCCTCCTTATCTTCACCTCCAGAGTAGCTGGGATTGCAGGTGTGAACCACCACACCCAGCATTCCCTTCTTATGCTCTCCGCAGCCTCTGGCAACCATGATTCCAGTCTCAACTTCTATGAAATCAATTTTAGATTCCACAGGAGTGAGATCATGTGGTATGTATTTGCTTTCTGTGCTCACTTACTTCACTTAACATGATTCCCTCCAGTGTCACCTATCTTTTCACAAATAATAGGATTCCATCTTTTTGTGGCCAAATAGTATTCCACTGTGTCTAAGCACCACATTTTCTTTATCCATTTATCAGTTCATGGACATTAGGGTTCATTCTATTTCTTGGCTATTGTGAATAGTGCTGCAGTAAACACTGGAGTGCAGTGTCTCTTCAATATACTGATGCATGCGGACATAAAACCTACATGAGAGAAAAGCCAGAGGGTCACATGGTCACCCAGAGCAGGGCACAGTAGAGTCCATGCAGCAATCAGCAGGCAAAGGCAGAGATGATTGTTGGGGATGACCGTGGAGGGGTGCATGACTCTTGGGCTATCTGTTGAGGGTAGTGCTGGCTGAGGGCTGAAACTTGGCTGGCTGTCTCCATGCCACTTAGGCTGTCCTTTGCCCCACCATAGGGCTTGAATAGGACCCTGCTATTTCAGGAGCCAGTGACAGCTGAGAACGTGGCCATTTACTTCACCCAAACTGAATGAGCCAGCCTGAACCTCTGTACAGAGGGCCCAGTACAGGGAAGCGACGGATGCTAGAGAATTATGCAAATTCCCTGGGTAAGATGTCTCCTTCCAGATTGTTGTCTGCCTCTGCCCTTTGAGCATTCTGGCTCCTTTCTTCTTAGAATTATTACACTGTCTTGAGGGACAACCTTTTGAGTGTCAGGCCTCACTCTATCCCCTCCATGGAGGAAAATGGGGAGCTTTTGGGAGCTCAGCAGAGCCGTTTGTACATCTGTCTTTTGTGTTTTCCAAAGGAATTGAGACTCCCAGGATTATTCTGGGAATCTGTCTCTCTTTGTGGGAATTTTCTGTCCTCTGTGACAGCACAGGCTGAGTCTCTCCCTGACTTCACTTTGTCTCACCCTACCCGGCTCAGCAGACAGAAAGGGGGATTATAGGAAGCCCCATTTCATGATTCTTGTTACTTTTTTATTACTGTTTCTTTCTCCCTGGGCAGCTTTTCCACTTACCAGACCTGTTCTGGGCTCCTGACTGGAGCAAGGAGAACCAGCATGGGGGCTCAATCCCAGGGAACCTGTGAACAGAGAGGCCCCAAGGTGTCAGAGCCAGGTGAGTATGAGATCCTGCCAGCTGCCTTTTGTCCTGGCCTGCTGTCTTGTTTTTACATTTCATTGTATAAGAAGTGTTCTTTTCTTGGAGACTTTCTTTCCTATGAAATTGCTGCATGTGATTCTCTGATTCATGGTGGTAACTTGGAGAAGGGCTGCTCTTTCTTTCAAGATAGGCATGACTGCAAGACTTCTTCACTTATTCATCTTTCTGTCTCCTCCTGACCCTCCAGGGAGACTGGCTGACTGAACAGCACTAAAACCAACTCTTTTTTTTCTGGTTGCATATAAACATTTTCTTTTTCAACCAGTGTGTTTGAGACAAAGCATCTCATCATGTAGCCCATTATGTTGGCCTGGAACTCCCTATGTAGCCAGGGCTGATCTCGAATTTACAATCTTCCTGCTTTAACTTCCGTAGTGCTGGGATTGTAGGCATGCTCTATCACCTCTTGCAAAAAAGATTTTGTGGTGGTGCTGGGGATGGAACCCAGGGCCTCATGCATGCTTAGGCAAATGCTTTACCACTGAGTTACTTCCCCAGGCCTCCACCAGTTCGTTTTTGCAAAGATAAGAATAGCATCTACCTTCTAAGGAAAGTTCGCTGGATACAACACCTCTTATCCTAGCTGTTATCTTCCTTGTGCAACCTGTCTGGCCCATCAGTATATCATGGAGCACAGTATTTCTATGGAACACTGAACTGTGAGTTCCCAAACATTGACTTGTTAAATAAAAAAAATCCTTTTTTATAATAATTTCAAACATGTAAAAATACTAGCATAATGTACCACATGTATGCCTCACCCAGCCTCAGCAGTCATCAGTGTCCTGTCATGTTGCATCTTTCCCCCATGCACACTTAAAGATTATTTTTAGCAGATGAGCTTTTGAAGCAAAATGTGTTGCTTGTTGTAAATCAAAGGTGAATGGCTTCCTGTTTTGTTGTTGTTGGTTTTTTTTTTGTGGCATTGTGGATTGAACCCAGGCCCTTGCTCATGTGAGGCAGATACTCCCTCTTCCCCTTTTTTGCATTTTGTTTTTAAGAAAGGGTTTCACTTACTTTGTGAGGTTGTCCTCAAACTGATGATCCCTCTGCCTCTGCCTCCTGAGTAGCTGAGTGATAGAGTATGCCATCACTCCAACTTTTTTTTTTGAGGTGTGTGTGTGAGGGGGGTCTCACTGTTTCCAAGGCTTGTCTTGATCTCATGGGTTTTAGTGATCTTCCTGAAGAGCTGAGTCTCCAGGTGCCCTCCACCACACCTGGCCCCTAAGAATTTGAAAAGTATGGGTATGAGAATTAAAAATAATATGGTGTATTTTCTTGCCTTGTTTATTCTGCTTCACTCCTCTGCACTTGTTAAGTTTCCTGTCCTCTTCAGACACTTTGCCAAGAATGCCCTTTACTGATGCAGTCCTGAGGTTTGTGCTAAAGTTGTACCTTTCTGGATGTGATGCCAAGAACTCCAGGCTATTTGTGGGAAAAATATTTTCTAAACAATTTCCTTATAAACATGTGAGGGTTTCCTCTGGTTCACTGACAGATTATATTAGTCTGCAAAAGACCTCAGTACTGAAGGGAAAATAGCCTTTGGTTTTCCTTTTTTGGTATATTTAGGATTCCATATCGAACTAAATGCACATCCTATACAACCTTCAAGAAAAAAGAGCAGGAGTCATGCCTGGTCCTCTTTGATTGGGTCTCTGTTCATCACTTCTTTGTGTCTACCCCTTTCTTTGCCCCATTCAGTTTTCTTTCAGTTTTTCTGCCCTCATTGACAATTTCTAGTGTTTCCTGTCTTTGTGGGAATGCTCCTGGCCTTGCCTGCCTCTCCCATAGTCATCATGTCATTTGTGGGGTGATCTTAGGTGGCCCTTTTATGGTCATATTGGAAATGTCCAGAGTCTCAGGGCAGATTGGAACCACTTGATCCTCTTTCCCTTTCAGCACAGCCTTTTCTTTTCATGATGTGAAAGGTGGGATACTTGATTTTCTTTTTGCAACATCAGGGAGTAAGACCAGAACTGAGAAGGAAGAATTAACTACAAAGGAACACATTTCCAAAGAAACACAGCCCTGACATCAGAAGGGCTACCAGGGAATGTTTCCCATCATCTTGACTTTGGGAGCAGCCAAGAGCAGCTCCAAGGTTTCTGGATAGTTAGGACAAACTAAAGAGGAGAGATTTCACAGATGGGTCAACCAGGCATCATGAGACCTATGCTATCGAGAGAAGAGAGAAGTGTGAGAAATCTGCGAAAAATATTAGTGTGAGCACACAGCTCACCATGAATCAGACAATTCCTACTGCTGAGATATCTTATGAATGTGGAATGTGGCAGATATTTTAGTTAAATGATAGACTTCCACTGATATCAGAGGCATTGCATCAGTGACAGATCTCTTGAATGCCCAGAACAGGGAAAAGACTTCAGGTTTAACTCACTACTTACTCAGCATCAATTGATTCACACTGGAAAGAAGCCATTCAAATGTAAATGTGGGAGAGGGTTAAGTTCAGACATGGTCTTGCTTTAGCACCAGAGGGAGAAGTCCTACAAGTGCAAGGAGTGAGGCAAGGCCTTCAGCAGCTGCTCGGTCTCCCTTTAGCACCTGAGGTTCCACACAGGTCAGAAGCTCTACAAATGCAACCGATGCTAAAAAACTTTCAGTTGTAGCTCAAGCTTCATCCATCAGTGAACACACACTGGGAAGAAGCCCTAGAAGTATAAAATGTGTGGGAAATGCTTAAGCTCCAACACAGCCTTTACGCATCAGCGCATCCACACTGGAGAAAAGCCCTTTGGATACAAGAAGTGTGGGAAGGCCTTCAGTCAGAAAATAACCCTGGTTCAGCATAAGCAAGTTCACACTGCTGAGAAACCTTATGAGTGTAAGGTATGTGGGAAAACCTTTGCATCATTTTGCATCAGAAACTGCACTCTCAGAAGACACCTCTCCACCCCCAGAGCTCTGCAGTTTAGCTCACAAGGCCCTCCTGGTTTCTCACTGTCCTCGCTGCCCTTCCTGGACTGGGCTGATCCTTCACTGTGAGCCTATAGTGCTCTGTGCCTGGAGCACTCGCTGCTCTACCTGTTTAATCATATTTAAATTCAGCTCTCAGCTTCTGTCATGAAGCCTTCCTTCAGATTGTCTGAGTGCTGGTCTCCCCGACATAAACTGGACTCTCTTTGTAGTTAGAAAAGATAAGAACAAGAACAACTCCCAAACTACACAAATAAAAGTTTCCAGGTTAAAAAGATACACTGGGTGTCCAGAAGGTAAATTCACGGTAGAATCAACATTCAAAATTTCACTATGAATTATCAAAACAGCAAATTTAAAGACATTCTAAAAGTGTCTAGAGGGAGAAAACAAAAGCTTAGACATGACAGTGACATTAGATTGCTCAGCAGCCATTTCAAAAGTTCTGTGACAGTGGTGTATGCCTTCCAAATTCTAGGGAATGTGATTCCCCGCAGTTCAATACCCTCAGGTTGAACGTAGAATAAAGGCATTTTAGGTCCTTTGAATCTAAGAACGCTTATTTCTCATGCATCCTTTTTCAGAGGTGTAGCACTAAACAAGGAGTGAACCAGGAAATGAAAAGACAGCTATGTGGACACTCTATTTAAAAGTGTACCAGAAGTCTCCTCAAAAACAGAGTGGCCTTGATCATGTGGTGCCATATGCAAGCTGGAGGACATCCCTGGTACAGCACCTGCTTTCAGAGACTTACCTTGGGCACGGTGTCCATCCACCCTATTCTACAGTTCTCTTCACCACTCAGTTGCAGTTCATGTTTTTGTAAAAGTTGGAGTATATACCCCCAAGTCAGATTCAAGGCCCTATTTATCTTAAGTTTATCCATCTCATTGCTGTTCCAGGTGATCTCAAACCAGTAAACGTTTCTTTGCAACTCCATCTAGTTATTTCTTATGATGGTGGAAGAACCTGCTGTTGTGATCTGTTACCTGTGGAAATGAGTGAAGATGGAAAAACGTTCTGTTTTAACACACACTCTGCAGGAAGCTCCATTTTGCCCATTGTGGGCAGCAGAGGGTAGTGGTGAATACACAGCCTGACTTGGAACACCCATATGTAACTTTGGTAAAGTTACAGAGATGGATGTGAGGGCGATCTGGCTGCGACATCTGTCACCCCATTGATCGCCAGGGTTGATTCGGCTGATCTGGCTGGCTAGGCGGGTGTCCCCTTCCTCCCTCACCGCTCCATGTGCGTCCCTCCCGAAGCTGCGCGTTCGGTCGAAGAGGACGACCATCCCCGATAGAGGAGGACCGTTCTTCGGTCAAGGGTATACGAGTAGCTGCGCTCTCCTGCTAGAACCTCCAAACAAGCTCTCAAGGTAAAGTTACAGAGATTCTGTGCACTCCTCTTCCTTATCTGTGAAATGGGAGTGACAGTTGATCTTTCTCCTAGGTTTGTGTTCAGGATTAATTGCATTATATACGCAGAAGTGCTTTAACAGTAACTAGAATATAATAATAAAAAGTGTTGCCTATTATGCTATTTGTAAGTTTTGACTTGTTTATACACCAATGAAACACTCATCACAATCAAGATAATAAACATAGTCATCACCCCCCAAACTTTACTTGCACCCTAAATAATCCCTCCCTTCTGGCTCTCCATAGGCAACTGTGGATCTGTGTTTTGTGGTTTTGAATTAGCTTCCCTTTGAGTTCATATCAAAGTTATCACTATACATACCCTTTATTTTTTGTTTGGTTTCTTTCACTTAGTATAATAATTTTGAGATTCATGTACTTTTTGCCTGTATTAATAGTTCATTCCTTTTTATTGCTGTCATATTCTACTGTATGAGTACAGTACGCTTCATTTATATTTTCATTCACCTGCTGATGCCATTTGGGTTGTTTCCAGTTTGGACTATTCAAATAAAGCTATGAACATTTGTGCTCCTGTTGTTTGTATTTTTTAAAGAACTTTCCTCTGTCTTAGGAAAATATCATGAGTGAATGACTAGGTCATAAGGCAGGTATCCAACTTTTTGGGAATCTTCAAAACTAATTTTCAAAAGAGAGGTTGTGCTATTATTGTACTTTTATGCCAGTAACAGATGAGAGTTGCACTTGCAGTACATCTTTTGCTAACACCTGATGTTGTTGGTTTTTTTGGTGTTTTTTGATGGTAGTGGGATTGAACTCAGGGTCTTAAGATTGCCAGGCAGTGCTTTACTACTTGAGATATCCCCCAGACCTTTTTGCTTTAGCTATTTTTCAGATAGGGTTTTGTGTCTTTTGTCCACGCTGGCCTCAGACTGAGATCCTCCAACCTATACCTTCCAAGTAGCTGGGATTACATGAGTGAGCTACCACATCTGGCCCAGTATTGCCAGTCTTTAATTTTAGCCACTCTCATTGTGCGATGCTATCACAGTGGTTTTAAGTTGCATTTAACAGTGATTTATCATGACGAAGTCTCTCTTCATATCTTCTGCCTGTGTATTTACTGGGTTGTTTATCTTTAAGAGGTCTTTGCTTATTATGAATGCAAGTCTTTTTTTCAGATATTATGTGATTTCTAATATTTTCTTCCAGCCAATGGTTTGTGATTTGGTTTTCCTAATGGTGTTGTTGAAAAGCAGATGTTAGTATTGATGAAGGCAAATTTATCCATTTGTTCTTTCATGAATCATGCTTTCAGTGTCATTTTTAAAAATATGATTCTACATCTGCTGAGTTGCCCCGTGGGGGTCTATTTCTAGATTTTACCTGTTCCATTGATCTGCTGGTGTCTCTGGATACCATTAAGGCATTATTTTAATTCATGTTGTTTTCTAATAAGTGTTGAGGTCATACAGTATTGTCCTCCAACTTTATTCTATGTCAGAAGTGTTTTGGCCATTCTAGGTCCTTTGCATTTCCGCAGACATTTTAGAATCAGGTTGTCAATCTCTGCAAAATGCCACCTGGAATTCTGATTGGGATTGCACTGGATCTATAATTCATTGGAGGGAGGGTTGGCCTGTTAACTATCTAGTTTTTTGACCCATGAGCATGTTACATTTCTCTGTTTATTGAGGTCTTTATTATTTTCTCTCAGCATTGTCTTGTGATTTTTATTGTACAGGTATTTACGCTTTTTCTTAGATTTTGAAGAATTTCACATCGTTTGATGTTATTAGTAGTAAATTTCTAGTTAATCATTGCTGGTATATAAAACACAAAATTATTTGGACAGTACTGGCGTTTAAACTCAGGGCCTCATGCTTACTAGGCAGAAGGCACTCTTCCATTTGAGCCACACCTCCACTAATATAATTTTTTTTAATATAATGACCTGCAACTTTACACAATTCACATAAGTTCTAGTTACATTTTATAGATTCCATTGGATTTTCTAACACTGAGATTTACATTCACAAATAAGAGCAGTTTTAGCTCTTCCTTTCCAATTCTGAAAGCCTTTTAAGCTCATTTTTCTTGTTTTATGCAGTGGCTAGTTTGTTGGGAAAGTATGTTTTAGGGAAAGCCCATCTCTCCAGCATTGGATAGGTGAGACATCCAGCTCCAGAGTCTAATTTTGCTGATAATGTGAACCAACTCTCTGACAATTGCAAAGTAGATGAAGTTCAATATCTGCTGGTTCACCTTGTCCTTTAGCTGTCTCTAGGGCAGCATTGCTTGGATTCTGTCCCTTTGGGGAGGCTGTTCAGAGAAAGAATAGGACTTTTGCAGCATGTTCTTAACCTAGGGATTTTCATCAGGCCCACAAAGTTCTCATTTCTTCTCTCTGCACCCCATTACCAAGAAGAGGAGTTCTACGTCCAATCATAGTCCCTTCTACTTAGAACTAATTATAATAACTGGCTGAAACTTTTATAATGTATCATAAACCCACAAACATGTACACCTATGTGTACCTATTTCTCTTCAGATTCATGGTAGATGTTCACTTTGATAGGTTTAGAGATGTGAAAGTATACGAATATGTGTCCTTATCATGCTATTGTTACTGGAAATCTAATCCAGAAATTTAAAACCATTGCTAGCATAAATTTTACAATGAAAATACTACAGATTTTATTAAAAGGAATGCTTTTGTGGTAGCTGAAACCTCTGCTTAGCCACACTCCACAGTGGTCTTCAGTGATCCTCACTTGACATTCACACCTCAACTCAACCCTACATCATGTTTGGCCAGTGACAATATATATTGAAGAAATAATACTGTGTGACTTCCAAAGCTAGATCGCAAATGACACCGCAACTTCTGCCTTAACCTCTTGGATTGCTCACCTGAGGCAGAGACTGCTACCATGGTGTACGACACTCAGTCATGTGGGAAGGGGCTGAGATCCCGTAACACTAACAGCACCATGAGTGTGGGCTACCATGGAGACAAGTCCTCCAGGCTGAGTTGAACTTTCAGATGGCAGCACCAGATGACCCCTAACTGGAATCTCTAAGCCAGAGACAGACAGCCAAGCCATTCCTGGATTTGTGATCCACAGACACTTTGCGAGAGGGTAAAAGTTAACTTGTTAGGCTGCAATAGATATCTAACACACTCTCCATGATGACAGCATATATGACTTGTTTGTACGATAGTTGCGAAGTTAATTTTTTTCCTCCAATAGTGGGAATCAAACCCAGGGCCTAGAGCATGCTAGAGGCAAGTGCTCTACCATTTGACTACGCTCTCTGCACAGTCTATTTTATATGAAAAGAATAGCCAACTGCAGAGAGCAATCCCTGTCATAGAGCAATATATCCACTCTTCTAGCTTCTTGTGGCTGGGCCTAGTGATCCCTCTGGTCCCCTGCTTCTCTAGGTCCCAGGAATGCAGAGACCTCAAGGGCAGATGGGACGGTGGTTTTCTGTAGAGCTGCCTACATAGGACCCACGCAGAACCCCAGGTCCGACTGCTTACGGGAAACAGACGCTCACCTCCGCCCGGTTCTCTGCCAGGCGCCGGGAGCCCCGCGCCATGCAACGCGCAGACATGGAAGGCAGCACGCTCACCCAGCTCGCTGTGGGGGAAACCAGCGGTCCGAGGACCACGAGCGGGGCGGCCGAACGTCACTGTCCCCGCCCGCCAGAAACGCCGCGGACCCAGCTCACTGCAGTAGCCCCGCCCCTTCTGCCGGGCGGCGAGTCACGTGGGGTGGGGATGGCGCGGGGGGGGGGGGGGGGGGAGGCCGCGGATACCACCGAGACGCGCGGCCTCCAGCGGCCTAGAGGGCCCTAAGGCGTGCTCGCACTTCCGGGTCGGCGTTTAGTAGGCGGTGGGTGCGCGCGAGAGGAGGGAGCGTTTCTGCAGCGGTGAGGGCAGGTTGGCCGGGCCTGGCGTCCGCCCTTCCGTGAGCAAAGTTCCAATGGCTGCCTGTGCGTCCTCTCGCGGCGCGTGGGCTTCGGGGCCTCGCAGAAACCGCCCCAGAGCAAGCGAGGCCGGATCCTCCTGCTGACCTAAAACTTTGGTCCCGATCGCCTCCCGCGTCCGGTACCGACCTTTGTGATACTGAGTCCCGGGCCTGGGTGCAGCGTGAAGGTCCCCGCGGGGTCTGCGGTGGGCATGACTCCCTGAAACACTAGGACTTCACCCCTCATCCGCACGCCTCCCCCTTCCTCTCAGAGGCATTCTCTTTTGGTCAATGCCAGGATCCTTGTAAGCATCTGTAAACTCCACGTGTGGAGACACCCAACGCTGTAGGGACACGGTTCACCTGGGACTCTCCACCCGCTGTGTGCGAATAGGTCAGATAGGCTCTGGGGACAAGGGAAATGGAGGACTGTCGTGAGGATCAGACAGAGCAGTGCTTAAAGAGGTTGCGGTGAGGAGCTTGAGAACAGCCAGAGGTGTCACCTAAACTGAGTGGGCCACAGGTGGCAGTGGGTGACAGACAGGTTCCATAGCACTCATGGCTCTTCTTCTCGTAGCTTCTAAGGATCCTGCTTTTCCAAGCCCAGAAGACAGTACGTGAAGCCAGGGACATCAGCCATGCTGCAAACAGCTTGGCCCCAGGTGAGCTGAGCTTCCTTTCAGTTACACTAGGTCTCAGGGAATGAGGAAAGCATGAAGAAGGGCTCATTTGGCCACACTTTGGCTACCCCTGGTTCTGTCACCAGGGCTGTGGCACATGGAACTATATGGTGGACAGTGGTGAGTTTATATATGTAGATGTAAGTGGAAGACTGGAGACCCAAGCCCGGAAATTCTCCTTGAATGTGAAATCAGATCTTATTCTACAAAGAATTGTCACCTGATGACACTAGAGAGCTTGTTCATTGAAGAGGTTGCCCCACAGATAGTGGGTATATCTCGGAGAGACCAGTGGTGTTGTGTCAGTGCATTTTGTAAATGCTAGATGCAAAGGGCTGAAGTGGGGGAGAAGGTTGGGTGTCCTGTAGAAACAGAAATAGCTGAGAGAAAGTGTTTCACAAGAGGTCAGAGAAGGCGGGAGAGGTAGGCACAGGTATTGTAGGTCATGGTGAAGATTCCAGTGACTGTTTTTAGTCCAGTGGGACTCCACTGAGGAGTTCTAAGCAGGGGGGAGGTGACATGGTGAGATTTATATAGTGAAAAGATTTTTCCAACCCTTACCTGCAAATTGGTTGTGGATGGGTATGAGTCAGTTAAGAGGATGTTAGAGCTCAGGTAAGAGATTAAGTATTGTCCTTTTACTGATTGTATTTATCTTTGAAGTAGTCATTATTGTTAATAGAAGTTTTAGACTCTCAGCAAAACTAGGCAGAAAGCACAGAGAGTTCCCAAGTACCTCCTGCCACCACCCAACACACAGCCTCCCACACTGTGTACTATCTGCACGAGAGTAGTACATGTGTTACTACTACATATGTTCAAGGAATGAACCTACAGTTGACACATCATTATCCCTAAAGTCCATAGTTTACATTAGCATTCATGCTTGTTGTGAACATCCTACAGGTTTTGACAAATTAACAATGGAATGTATCTATTCTACAGAAGAGTTTCACAGCTCAAAGAATCTTCTGTGTGCCTTCTGATCATCCTCCCCTCTACCGTAACCTCTGATAACCGCTGATCAATCTTTACTCCCTCCATAGTACTGTCCTTTCCAGAATTATGTGTACCTGACATCATAAAATTTGTATCTTTTTCACGTTGACTTCTTTTAGTAATATGCCCTAAATTTCTTTGTGATTTTCTTCATGGAGTGATAGCCCAATTCTTTCTAGTGCTGAATAATATTCCATTGTCTGTATCACAGCTTATTCACCTGAAGGACATTTTGTTGCTTCTAAGTTTCGACAGTAAGAAATAAAGCTGCTGTACTTGTCCATTTGCAGATTTTTGTGCAGAAATAGGTTTTCAACTCTTTGGTAAAATACCAAGGAGCACATGGTAAGAGGATGTTTAGTTCTGGGAGAAACTGCCCTATTGTCTTCCACAGTTTCTGTACTGTTTTACCCTCCTACCAACAATGAATCAGTGTTCTTGCTGTCCACATGCTGGCCAGCATTTGGTGGTGTCTGTGTTTGGATTTAAGCTATATTTTTTTTTCCTCAAACACATTGTTGACTAGTCTTTCAGAAGTATATTTTTAGGTGAGTATAAATGATCTCCTACCCTTGCATAGATCTTGTGGACTTATTTTTGAAGGGATAGTGGAGTTAATGGAATTCATAGGTAAATTTGGTTATAAGTAACTTACAAATTTGATTCTTCCCATTGAAGGAAAAAAGACATCCCCAGCCCAGATGCCTCACCACAGTACATTTTCCCTCTAATATTGGGCATATTTTTAGGACTCATGAAACTTGGGTCTATGTAATGGCAGGTGGGAAGGACAGTTTGGGGAGGAAGATTGGTGATGGTAGGTGGAAGAGAAAGGTGTGAGAGAAGCTTTGGAGATGGTTGGGAGCACATTTGCCTTGCTGTGAGTGGAAGTGAATTTGATTTTGCCTGGGAGCCCATGATTGCTGTCCTCAGAAACTAGTAATGCCCGGTCCTTGAAGCCATGGTTATTCAGCACAACTCAGTCTGCACTTTAGATTTTTGGCACACAGTATTTTGGGGGCCTTTGGACCTCGTTGCCCGATTTCAAGGCCAGCCTCCTTTGAGGACTGTCTAAATTTGTTCTTTTCCTTTCAGGGGCTCTTTTAGAACTGAGTTCTCTGTGTGCTCTTGCTTTGAAAGGATGCTCTCATAAGAATCTGCTAAATGGAGTCAGTAGGGGTGCCGTGAGCAGGTCAGGTTGCCAAAATTTGTCCTTGGTGTGTGTTCCTTTTTGCTTCCTCCAGGAGCAGTTATAGTAGCATTCCCTTCTCTCCATTCCCCATGCGGACTGCAGAGCTATTAGAATCTGACTTTGACCCTCTGAGGCTGCCCTGGGGACTCGTGGAAGGATTTGGAGGCTTTGGCTCCCATGGTGATGTGTGTGATTTTGAAACAGCTGACCTCAGTCCATGTTGGGGAAAAAGGCCCACATGGTCTGGAATGATGATTTGGGGAGTCTGAAAGCTGTTCTCCAGAGGGGAGGCAGGACCAGGTCATAATGGTTAGTAGGGGTTAGTCATGTTCTTGGAAAAGTTTGTGAGCCAAGTGTGAGGGACAGAATTGGTGTATGGGAGGAGCTCAGGTTTGTTCCACTGATTTGCATTGAAGTCCTATCTATACTACTTCCTGGCTATTTGATTTTAGCATAGTAATTAACCTTTTTAATTTTTATTAACATATTGTTGTACTGGGGGTAGTAATTAATCTTTGTGAATCTTAGTTTCATTATTTGAAAAATGGGTATAATAATTCTTACTTCACATACGCATTGTAAAGGGTTATAGGATTTAAATCACTAATAGCCTGGCATGCAGGAGCTAATCAGTGTTATCTCCATCCACTCTTGGGAAGATGGAAGTGATCTCAGGGAAGGCAGAGAGGGATACAGCTGGTATCCAGGGCAGCTTTGGTAGATAGGACAGTGCTCAGAAGACTGGGGAATGGATATGTGCCCAGAGACAAAACGCTGCCCACCTGTCCCTGAAAATAGGTAGTTCAGAGAATAGCTAGAATAGACAGGCTTTATAGTTCCTACAGGAGGGCCAGCTTTCCAGCTGGGCATGGTAGCTTAGGCCTGTAATGCTAGCTACTCGGGGCATAGATTGGGAAGATCGCAGTTTGGTGCCAGCTCAGGCAAAATGTTAGTTGGACCCCTATCTCAACCAATAATAGTAGGGCATTATAACACAGGCTTGTCATCCCATTTATGTGGGAATCATGAATAGGAGGATTGTGGTCTGGATGGCCTAGGATAAAGGTGAGCAAAAAAGTCTGGGATATGGCTCAAGTGGTAGAGTACCTGCCTAGGGAGAAGGAGGCCCTGAGTTCAAATCCCATACCACCCAAAAAAAAAAAAAAAGAACTAGCTTTTTGATAAGGCAGAAGGGTTTAAAAGAGAAATTCACAAAATTGTTGAGAGAAGCTGGGTACAGGGAAGAAATGGGGCTGTGCAGTGCCATGTGGGTGGATAGAGATGGTGAGTGGCTGCTGTCCTTAGTGAATAGTGTACAGACAGTAAGGTGACAGGCTATGGAGGACATGAGGGTGTAGGTGACAGAGGGCAGATCTGTACAGCCAGGAACATAGGGGTTGACATGGTTACCAGGGACAGAGCACTGAATGCTAGGCTGTGCAGTGGGATAGCAGTGTGGGCCATAGGGTTTTAGAGATGGGAGAGTGCTGGGGCTCCAGTTGAAAGGGGGAACACTGACTGGGGATCTGGGGGCTTTTCTTGCTAGAGCAAACCTTCAATTCGGCCCAGCGTTGTGGGCGCTGAGAGGGCTACCCCTTCCTGCAGCTCAGACTGCCCTCTCCTGCCCTTTATTGGGAGCTTGAGCAGGATTCTGTTGTTTCAGGAGTTGGTGTCCTTTGAGGATGTGGCTGTGTACTTCACCCAGAGTCAGTGGGCCAGCCTGGAGCCTGAGCAGAGAGCCCTGTACAAAGACGTGATGCTGGAGAATTATGCAAATGTGGCTTCCCTGGGTAAGGCCTCTCAGGGGCCCTTTATGGGAATCAGATATGGACCTCAGAAGCTTTGGGGATCCTCATAACCCTTAGGTTTAATGACTCAGTGAGGGAAGTCTGATCACCAGCTTCCAGAAAGACTAGGTGAGGAAATCCCTGGTTCCCTTGAATTTTTTTCTTTTTTCTTTTTTTTTTTCTTTTTTGGCAGTACTGGTTTAAACTCAGGGCTTCACACTTGCTAGGCAGATGCTCCACCACTTGAGCTACTGACTTCAGTAGCCGTTTTTTGTGTTGGCTACTTTCAAGATAGAGTGTAGCAACTATTTGTCCCAACTGGTTTTGAACCTCAATCTTCCTGATGTCTGCCTCCTCTGTAGCTAGGATTGTAGGCATGATCCACCGGCACCCAGCTCCCTTGAATTTGAGAATGGACTTCCCTATACTACAGGGAAGGGTATGGATCTGAGTCCTGAGATCCTGGCATAGTTCCTTCATCCTTCCAGTTTTGAGAGCATTGCCCTCTCCTTATGGAGGGGTCTCACAGGAAAGCAGAATATACTTCTTCCGGAAGAAGTACTCTTCTACTTCAGAGCCAGGTCCAAGTTTCTTCCTGAGGAGAGTGGTATCTCGCTGGCTTCATTGTGGACCAGAGTTTGGACCCCTTTTTTGGAACTCAGCTCACCTGAAACTCTGGGTGCTCCATTTCTCTCCCTATTAATTAGCCCTATGGAGGGTGGGCTTGAGAGCGGTCTCAAGAACAGTGCTGGATGTCTCCCCTCAACATGTGTTTCCTCCTGAAGTAGCAGGTCCTTTCCACACACCTGTTCTTATCTCCCTGCTGGAGAGAGGGGAAGCACCATGGGGCACAGATCCCTGGGCCCCAGAGGATCTGAAAGGCGTCAGTCTTGGTGAGTGAGAGCCTAGTGGCTGTTTCTTTTTTCCCTTCTTGATTACTTTTTCCTTTCACAGGGAAGGAACTCTGGGACATCTGTAAGGCAGCTCTCTGGCATCTCTGGCCTCTCACTGAATTCTGACCCTTAGCCTAAGAGTGTGTGTCTACACTGTCTGCTCATTCATGCAACCATATTCACAAGTTCTTGAAGTATTTCTTTTCTCATTTGCCAGTGGGAACTTTTTTATGCCTTTGTTTTTGTTGCAAAGAAAGGCATTTCTGCCAACTTTAAGGAAAATGTGATTCTGTGAGCCAAACTGATTTTTGTCACAGCTATAAACTTTATTTTAGATCTTCAACAATGACAAGAGTGGCTTTATCTTTTAGTATCTAAATAATCTAAAGCTTTAACTTAGTAATCTTAGGTCTACATTGTTTTTTTACAGATGGGGCTATAGAAGATGGGGCTGGGTTTAGCCTACAACACACACACATGCACACACATACACACATGCACAAAGGTCACCAGAATTCCCTGAGACTGTCACCACACCTGGCAGGTTTGGATCTCTTGGGTTTCTTTTGTTGGGAAGGGACTTCCTAGCCCTAACCTCATACACATTGGGATTTTGTATATAGCAGCTCCTTTCACAGTGATACCACAGGGCCCACAGCTTTCCTTTCTAACTTCTGTTCCAGTTACCTTTCTGAAGAAAATTTCTTTTATCCCAGAATATTATGTGGAATATTTTAAATAAATGATTGGCATTACTTAGGATTTTGGCTGGTTTCCTAGGTTATAGGTGGGGTATCAGATGCATTTCATCCTGGGTGTCTCAGCCTCTGAGCCTTCTTGCAAGGCTGACCTGCCCTTCTACTCTTCCCTGCCTCTCATATCCCTTTGTCCTCTGGGGCTGTCTCCATCCCTGTCTGTCTTTTGAAATGCTTACTGTTTCTTGGTGACCCCTCTTCTCTCCTTTCTTCTTTTTTTCCCTCTTGTTTTCTGTCTTTCTGCTCCCAAGGTTCTTCCCATTTCCCCTGCCTCAGTTCACCTCTCTGCCCTCCTATAGGGAGCTCTTCCTAGCTGGCTTTCCTGTGTTTCTGGTGTCTTCATTTCTACAGTTATGTGTCACTATTTTTCTTTGTCTCTCTTTCTTTGTTGTGGATGTTTATATCCATTTCAAAGGCATATTTCTTTCTTTTATTTTAACTAGCACATATTAATTGTACAAAATAAGGCATTTGATTGTGATGTTTTTATACATACCATAATGTAATTTGATCTTATTCACCCTGTCTGTTACTGTCTTTCTTATTCCTTTTGCCTCCAACTACACCTTTCTTTTTTAACTTTCCTACAAAATTTTTAAATGGGTTTCATTTTGTCCTTTTCCTATGTATATACAATGTACTTTGGTCATATTTTTCCCTCCCCTTTCTTTTCCCCCTTGTACCTCCTGGTGGTTCCCCACCCTGTAGTATGTTTTGGTCTTTTTTTAGGTCTAGATTCTGCATATGAGAGAAACCATGCAATATTTGTCTTTTCGAATTTGGTTTATTTTATTATGATCATTCATTTTCCTACAAATGATATGATTCTGTTCTTTATGGCTGAACAATACTCCATTGTGTATATATACCACATTTTCTTTAAGCATTCATCTGTGGAAGGGTACATAGGTTCATTTCATGATTTGGCTATTGAATTGGACTGCAGTAAACACAGATGTGCAGGTGTCTCTACTGTATTCTGACTTAGATTCCTTTGAGTGTATGCCCAAGACTGGTATAGCAGGATCACATGGCAGTCCTATTATTAGTTTCTTGAGGAACTTCCATACTATTTTTCATAGTGGTGGCTGTGCTAATAAGGACTTCTTTTTCCTCAAGCATGTATTTCTAAAAATCATTCTACAAGAGGAAATTAGGATTCCTGGACCTTGTTTTTCTCCCATTTCAGTGACCAGTGACCTGTGTCTCTGTAATAGGTGATGAAGCCTGGATCAAGAATGAAGAGACCCTTATAAAGCAGGAAGCCTCTGAAGAGATGGGGTTGCACAGAACATCAGGGGAAAGACTCCCCAGAAACCTTTCTCAGCATTTTGATGCTAAAAGTAAGACAGTAAGGCCTACTTTCAGTCTAAATCCAAATCTGATACTTCGTGGTGGCATGAAGTTCTATGAATGTAAAGAATGTGGGAAAATCTTCCGATATAACTCAAAACTTCTTCGACATCTGATGAGTCACACAGGGGAGAAGCCCTTCAAATGTAAGCAGTGTGGCAAGGCTTTCAAATCTAGCTATGACTGTATTGTCCATGAGAAAAACCACTTTGGGGAGGGGCCCTATGAATGTAAGGAGTGTGGAAAAGGGTTGAGTTCCAACACAGCCTTAACTCAGCACCAGATGATCCACACTGGAGAGAAGCCCTATGCATGCAAGGAGTGTGGCAAGGCCTTCCGCAGGAGTGCAACCTTTCTGCAGCACCAGAGGTTACACACGGGGGAAAAACTCTATCAGTGCAAGGAGTGCTGGAAAGCTTTTGGTTGTAGGTCACTTTTTATTGTCCATCAGAGAATTCATACTGGGGAAAAACCCTACCAATGTAAGGAGTGTGGCAAAGCATTCACTCAGAAAATAGCATCTGTTCAGCACCAGAGAGTTCACACTGGGGAGAAGCCTTATGACTGTAAGGTGTGTGGGAAAGCTTTCAAATGGTATGGAAGTTTTGTTCAGCATCAGAAATTGCACCCCGTGGAGAAGAAGCCCCTGAAGGCTCTTCGGCCAAGCCTGGACAGTCCCCAGTGCCTGTCTCCAACCTTAGCTCTGGTGCCTCTCCAGGGGATGGGCTCTGCTCCAGCAGTAGCTGTGCCTCCCCTGACCATTCCACATGCAATACTCATTCCTACCTCTGGGCCTTTCTTCATGCTGCTGCCCACATCTGGAATGCCTTCACCTCCCCAGATAGTGCGTGTCTTCCAAAGCCCTGCTCCCACTGTGAAGCCTTCCCCTATTATTCTGATCCCTTCTTCTCAGCCCTCTCGAGCTTTGTCATAGCCCCCCCTCCCTTCCTGGCTCTTAGGATGAGCAAATCTCTAACCCAAATTTTTATTTTTATTTTTTAATTCATGTTATATGTTAAAGCTATTTCACCAGAAGCTCCATTGTAATCTGTATACATTGAAAGACTATGTTTATATATCGTTTTTTGTCTGGGTAGAAAGAGGAAATACTGGACTTTTGCACTGGTCCCTTTCAACTTGCGCAATTGTGGCTGTGCGCACAACTGTGGCATAGATTGGTGGTGGTAGCAGAATTGATAGGTCACTTAGGTGTGTGAGGAGCGGATTAAAGCCTATGAGAACTAGACACAAGTAAGGCAAGATGCAGTTAATTTCTTTTACCTGTAGGCCGAGATAGGCACATTTCCTCAGCCACGAAACAGGGAAAGGCAGAACAGCTGGGTCTTCTAAGCTGTGTTCAGAGAAGCAGGAATGCAGGTTTCTCCTGTTGCAATATCACGCCCCTCCCTGTGGCTCCACCCTGTTTGCTGCTATAAAAGACCCCTGAAGGAGAAAGGGGGTTTTGCTTTTGGCTTTTGGGGCTTTACTTTAGGCTTTTTGTTGTGGGAAGCTTTTGGAAGAGAAAAATTGCTGAAGGGGAAAGGAAACATTGGATAGAAAATGCCAAAGGGAAAAGGGAACAATTGCTAAAGGGAAAATGTTAAAGAGGGATTGATAGAAAATCTGCTCTGAGAACTTTAATGTAGGCTTCAGAAAGCAAAGCTGAGAAAGAACTTCATACTTAGGCCTTAGGAAAGCTAAAGCTAAAGAGAACATGGGACAGTGCACAGTGCAAGTCTAAGGACTGACACCTTAAGAGTTATGCATATGCAGGTTGTAGGCACAACTGTTCATAGGTTTGTAGCGCCCAGGCTTTAAGAGAGCTAAAGAGAGATGAGACAGTGCAAGCTTGGGGGCAAAAGAATTTAAGAGCAGTTAAGGTGAAGATAAGCTGAGAGCAAACATGGGTCGGTGTGAGCCTAAGGAAAGAGGTTGTAAGCAAGGTTTTAAGGAACTGCAAAGAGCAAGGCCTTAAAGAATCAAGACAGAGAAAAAGAAGCAATGAAGGTTGTGCGTCACCAGCTGAGCATACAACACACCTGACCCTAAATGTCTGTCTATCCTGTATCTTCTCTAAAATCTGCAGTTGTCCCTAATTAAGCCCAGTTAGGTTCAGTAATAACCAAGGAGAGAGAGAGAAAACCTCGCTCCAGCAAGGGAGGGAGCGTGAAGAACAGTGCCCCCTTCGAGGTGTGTCAGGGCAGCTTGGGAAGAGGACGTCCCTGTATTGGACTACTGGAATTAGACAGAAGCAACCTAGGTGAAACGGGAGACAAAATGCAAGAATTGTGAGAGCAGAGAACTGGAAAAGGTTTCCAATAGTGGAATTTGGAGAATCATGCAGATTATTCAACGGGATAGTGGCTAAGAGAGGTTTAATACCATTGATGTTTCCTTTGTCAGGATCATTGAGGATCCCCTACTCTATGCAAAAAGTAATGTGAAATAAACAGTTACAATGTATGCAATGATGGAGGTGATAACAAATGTATAATCATCTTTAAGCAGAAAAAGGATATTATTTTGCTCTTGTTATCTGGACATTTCAGCTTTTGTTTCCTAAGTAGATGTACACAAAGACATTTGCCTTTGTTTCATCTGTTCTAAAAAATATATATATTTTTGTTTTCTCTTTGCAAGCACTGGCTTCTACATTTTATTTTCACCAGGGAGCAAGAGTTGTATGTATACATTTGGTGAACCACTAAAGAAATAACAATGATATAAATCCAACTTGGGAAAAATCTGAAAAGTTTTCACATTTGGTTTTGGAAATAAAGGGGGCTGTAGACAGGCATGGTGGTTCAAGCATGTAATCCTAGCTACTCAGGAAGCAGAGATTTCATATATGGATACAAACCAAATCCACTATATACACCCTCATTCCCCCTTGTACCTGCACTCCTCCCATTGGTATACACCCTTGGAAAAGATTTTATTTTTCCCTCCTGTCCTTCATTTTTAAAAAATTAAGTATATATTGATAGTCCAAGGGGGGTTCGACTTGGTACTTCAGGTCTGTATATATTGAATATTGCACAAATCTTTAAAGGGATGGAAATAAAAATTGTCAGCATCTCACCAACCATTTAAATTTCTCCCTGAGCTGAGAGAACTTTTGGGGGTGATGGCATTTGTCTATATATTGGTTATACAACTATATTCATGTGTCAAAACCCATCAAACTACACATTATTAGGGTGAATTTTTTTGTATAAAAATGACATCTCTTGGCCTGGGGTGTGGCTTAAGTGTTATAGTGCCTGCCTAGCAAGTATGCAGCCCTGAGTTCAAACCCCAGTACCACCAAAAAAAGCATACACATCTCAATAAACCTGACCAGAACTGAAGCCAGTGTTTCTCTTAGTTTTCCCTTGCAGATAGAATTTGTGGTGTTAACACAGTAGTGTTCATATCATTATTTTTTTCTTTATGCTTGGCAAACACTACCAGTGAGCTACACCTCTAACTCCCTATCAGGTTCTTAATGCTGTATTCCTACTTAATTTTTTTTTTTTTTTTTTTGCAGTACCGGGGCTTGAATTCAGGGCCTTCACCTTGAGCCACTCCACAAACCCTATTTTTGTGAAGGGTTTTTCAAGATAGGGTCTCGCAGAACTATTTGGCTGGCTGGCTTCGAACTGTGATCCTCCTAATCTTTCCCTCCTGAGTAGCTAGGATTACAGATGTGAGCCACCAGCGCCCAGCCCACTTAATCTTTAAAGTACCTTTCCATTTGCCACAACTGTCCTGAAACAGTGATTCTAAGAAGGGTCAGAGCCTCTAGCCACTAGATTGAGAATATAGCCAAGCCAATGAGATCCTAACATCTGCTAAAATCAGCACACTTCAAACACTTCTCAGTGTTGCCAACTAGTTCATTTTAAAATTAATTTAAATGTACCACCAATGCTGGGCATGGCGATTCATGCCTGCAATCCCAGCACTCGGGAGGCTGAGACAAGGATCAAGAGTTTGAAGCCAGCCCGGGTTACATAATAAACCTAATGTCAAAAAGGAAGTAACAGTGATCACAACTTCAGACTTTAGCATAAGGAAGTGTGGGGTAGGTGCTTGTACAGTAACTGACCAGGAATGAACCTCCCTGGTTGGGGTTCTCCTCTCTCTACCTCCTGTGCTCACCAGTGTGATAATTTTAAAGATCACTACACTGAAGCATTGGTCCTAAATGCATAAACCCAAGTGACTTTTGGTACCTACATATTTGAGTGAGCACTGGCATTAAACAAAGATGTGATCAGGAATAGAAAAGGAACCCAAATACAGATACCACATCCTCTCCCAATCAAGTTCAAAGACTTAATTTTGCATTTTTGCTATCAAGACCAATTCATCACTTCATATTCTTTTCTTGGTTTTCTTGGTCTACTGGACCCTCCTCATGGTCACTGCCAAATTAATAAAAAATTCCAAGGCTTACATTGTCCCCACAGTGAGTCATCCCACTGGCTTATCAAATGGCTGTCCTTACATCCTGAACACAATCACCAGATACTTTCTCTGATTACCTCCTCCAGGGGCTTTGCATTTCACCTGTATCTCTAGTTACTTTGGCCAAATTCACCAGAATACCATATCCCCCAAAACTCCAAAATGTTCCGCAAACTCTCCAAACTCCAGTAGTCCCAGAAGGCAGGTGCAGATTCATGGCAGAGGCCCAAACTGGACACTATAAAGGACAGCTACTGCCATTGCCTACTCAGGGAATAGAAGAGAGAAATCAAACATGTGAGGACTTAAAATAGAATTAGGAAACAATGTCTTACACAAGACCAAACCAGGAAAGTACCAAGAAGACTCAGTGAAAACCTTGATAACTGGAGGTGCCATAGGAGTTGAGAACACAAGGAAGCTCACAGGGAGTGAGACAAGGGATCAGATGAGGGATTCAGATGAGAGATTTTGTGCATGGATGGCTTCCCAGAAGAAGCAAGATCTTGAAGGAATGACCTACTTGAACATTTAGATGAGGGGAGCAGAAGGAATGGGGGCACAGAAGGAGGAGTCACCCTGCATATGGAGAAGATGGGGAGACAGACCTAGCAGTGCAAGGGCAGAGCATGTGTGCTGGAGAGGCAGAGGGGAGAGGACAGAAGAAGGCTGGTGGGACTTCACTGCAATGGCCGTGAACCTTGGGCGGTTTCTTCCCACACTTCAAGTGTTCTCCACCATGCAGATTCCCTGCTGCTCAATCAGGACTGAATTGGAACAGAAACTTCTCCCACATCCTTGTATTTAGGGCTTCTCCCCAATGTGGATTCACTTATGGACAATGCAGTCATTGAATTGACTATGAATGCCCTCCCATGGTCCTTCTACTTAAAGCAATTCTCCCTGTAGTGGATACTCTGATGCCATATCTGTTTACAGTTATAGCTAAAGGTTTCCCCATAGTCCCCACATTTGTAGGGCTTCTCACCACCAAGGACTCTGATGCTAAAGAAGGTGGGAATTTTGACTAAAGGCTTGTTCACATTCTTCACAGGAGGGTGTCTTCTAGGTTTGGATTATCTGATACAGTGACAGCTTTGAGTGATATCTGAAGTTAGTCCCACATTCTTGGCACTTGTAGGACTTCTCAGTGTGAATTTGCTGGTGCTGGTGAAGAGTGTGGGTTTAAGAATCTGCCATCAGCACACTTGTAAAACACCTGCTCCCTAGGAATGCCTGTTTTAGACATGAGTTCCATGGCAACATGACTGCTTCCTCACTGTTCCTGGCTCTCTCCTCTCTTGATAGTGGACAGTTTATGACCCTGGGCTGTGAAATCTATGCCACCTTTTTTTTTTTTTTTTGTAGTACTGGCGTTTGAACTCAGGTCTTACACTTTGAGCCACTCCACTAGCCCTTTTATTGTGAAGGGTTTTTTTCCCAATATACTGTCTTGTAAACCATTTGGCTTCGCTGGCTTTGAATCGCAATCCTCCTGATTTCTGCCTCTTGAGTAGCTAGGATAATAGGTGTGAGCCACTGGTACCCAGCTACCATCTTCGTTTTTCAGATTGTTTTCTTCCTTGTGTCCTAGGACAGCTATTCCAGCCTGTCCGTTATTGGCAGCCTCCACCCTCTCTGCAGGACTGAGTCTCTAGATATGTTCAACCTTGGATTTTGCTCCTTATCCTCAGTCTTGGTTATACCACATAGTATGATTAAAAAGAAAACATGAGTCCCTTATTATTTGTGCTAGAAGGGGAAAGGGATTAAGCAGAATCAGCATGCCTGGACACATGTGTTTTTAGAGAGCCCCATCATACCCAAAGTATCCCCAGAGAGAAAGAAAAACCCTTGGAGGTGGGAAGGTAGCAATGCCATGAAGGAGATAAAAGGGTGTAGATGGCAAAGCCATGGATTTAGAGAAATGCAAGCCAGGTGCAGTGGCCCATGTTGGTAATTCCAGCTCTTTGGAAGGCAGAGCTAAGAGAATTGCAAGTTAAGTCCAGCCCCAGGCAAAAAGCCCAAGACCCTGTCTGAAAAATAACTAAGGCAAAAAGATGTGAGATGTGAGATGTGGCTCAAATGGTAGAGCACTTTTCTAAGAAGGGTGAAGCCCTGAGTTCAAATTCCATTTACCACACACACAATACACAAAAGGCAAATGAATAAAGGAAATGCAAATGGATGTAGAAGGTTCAGTACAGGGAAGTAATGATGAAAAGCAAGGTGTAGAAAGCGATCTCTGCACTGGAGGCAGCACCACAGGGCGGGAGAATCCCAAGGCCATCAGGCATGAGAGCTTCAGTTTAACCAGGCCTGCAGGTAATTCTAATGCACACCAGCGTCTGAGAGCTAAGTGGTTTATGATATACTGTCATAAGAAGGCCACTAGCCACCTGAAGTTAATTAAAAGGTAAATAAATTGGAAATTCAATTCCTCAGGTACACTCACCACACTTCAGTGAGCATGTGATTATGGCTTCCATACTGGGCAGTGTAGACACCATTCCCAACACTGCAGAAAGTTTTACTGGACAATGCTGGAGTGAAGGCCTTGGCAGATATAAACAGACATATGCAGTGATGGCAAGAAGCAACACTGACAACTGAAGGAAGGCCACCAAGAAAGGCTCATCAAGATGAGTTCAAGGGCTGACGAGACTTTCTAAAAGACAAATGCTGAGAGTGTGGCTCAAGTGGTAGAGTACATGAGTTCAAATCCTAGTAGGCAATAGGCAAAAAGAAAAAAAAGTGTAGGAAGAAGCACTTGGTTAACAGAGGCTCCAAATAACTGAAGGATTAAGAGTATGAGAAAGAAAATTGTGATCGAAGGTTCTCCACCAAGTCTTGATTCTTTAAATTTACCTCAATTCAATATATTAAAAAAAAAAAGAAGCCATTAATTTTTTTAGCTTTATGAGGAAATGACAGGAAATGGAATGTGTGGACTGGTCTTTCTGTTTGGTGCACAAGCTAAGTAAGAATGACTGTTTTGCTGGATTTTGTGACATACTAGTATCCAAGCCTTGGAGGACTGAGGTGGGAAGACTGTAAGTTCCATGGCCAGCCAAGATGCACAAGATCCTATCTGAAAAAAAGCGACTTTTCATCCCTACAACTGCCATATGACAGGAGAAAACTCTTTCATGTTAAATTGTTCATAAAGAAGAGAAAAAACTGGAAAGGACCATCATCGGCTCTACTTGCCTGTGCATAAGACTCTCAAGGTCTCTTTCCAGCAGGTGACCAGAGATCCAGCTCCTGGTACTTCCCCTCACTACAGCCAGGATATCAGTCTGGTTCATGGAATAGAAATGCTGCTAAAGGAGAAAGAAAAGGAACAAGAAGCCAGGAAGACTACCATCTCCTTTGTCCAGAGGTCCAAGTGAGATCAAGTGAGGAAAGAATGGATGCCACCATGTGTGAGGCTCCTTGGCCATGTGGGAAGGGCTGAGGTCTCACACCAGCAACAAGCACAATTTGCCAGCCCTGTGAGTGAGTGACAAATAGAGGCAGATTGTCCAGACTCCATCAAGATGCTGACAGCTCTGAGTGACACCTGACTGGAATCTCACCAGAGATCCCAGGAGAGGGACACCCAGCCATGCCATCCATCCCTGGCTTCCTGAGCCACAGACACAGAGAGAAAGTAGGTGGAAATTTTTTTCAACCACAGTGTTTTAGGATGATTGTGAAGCAGCAGCAGATTCCTAGCACACTCTCCATTATAGGACTTCTTTGTGTTCTGCAGTAGTTGGTACTTTTGTCTAAGTCATGTGAAAGGAATAACAAATTCCAAGAAGTGGGATCCCTATAAAAGAGCAAATACCTGCTACGCAGTGTCACTCTTCTGCTTCTTCTGGGGTCAATTCTCCTGTATAGCACCGAAATGCTTAATGAGTAGCAGCCAATTACCTGGGTCTGTGTTGACCAGAGAGGTCAAAATAAAATGAACTCTGCACCTCTTGCAACCAAATTGGTAAGAAGTGAGCAGATTAAGGCTGCTATAGGTGCAGTGATTTTCAGAAGCACTGTTACTGTAGTGAGGCACTTGGTTAGTGAATGTACAACAGGAGGGCCTCCAGGATTGGCTGGCTTTCAGGAGTTTCTATCACGGATTGGCTCATGATCAGAAGCTTGATGCTGCACAAAGTGCATTTGCTAACTTGCACATGCTTATTTACTCACAGTGAGGGAAGCACCCAAGTGAGGCTGTTGCGTGCTGGTTAATTTTCAGAGCATATGTGCTGACCTGAAATTATGTTATATAACTGCAACTACTTATTTGAGACTTGAGACTTTGGTCAAAGAATGGCTTTGGATTTTTATTCACAGAGGCTCCCTCCCTACATTGCCCAGGCCGGCCTCTGACTACTGGGCTCCAGCCTGATTCCTGAGTCACTGGGAACTACAGAAGCACTCCACTGTGCTGGCTTTTTCCTTCTAGAATATGAAAAATAAGAACTTTTAATCTTCACCATCCCCTCCCTGCCTTTTATTGTATTTTTTCTTCTGCCAGCCAAACCCGAAGAAGAGACCGTCAGAGACTGTCCATACCTTTACTTGTAGAGTGTTGTTTTTCTTTCACTCGGTGTCATGTGAGTATTGGGTGTTAAATGACTTTCTACTGCAAGGTTCCAGTCTCCTGTGGGTCCCAGGAACGGTTAGGGAGGAAGGACAGATGAGGTTAGTTTTCTGAAGAGCTGACACTGGCTCGGACCGCTTAGGGAACAGGGACGAGGCGCCGATCTCCACGCCCTGCACCGCCAGGCACCGGGAGCCGCGCGCCATGCAGAGCGCGGACAGCGAGGACAGCGCGCTCACCTTGCTGCACTACGCGCTAAACCTGGGCTCTCAGGACTGCCGGGCTGCAGATCGGCCGCCTCACTCCCGGGGCGGGGCCAGGAGCCGCAGGATGTCACAGTCCCCGCCCACCAGCAACGCCGGCCACCCAGCCAGCCGCAGCAGCCCCGCCCTTCCGCCGGGCGGCGAGTCACGTGACGGGCCGCGGGTACCACCGAGACGCGCGGCCTCCGGTAGTCTAGAGGGCCCTGGACGTGCTCGCACTTCCGGGTCGGCGTTTAGTGGGCAGCGGGTGCGCGCGAGGGAGGAGCGAGCGTTACGGCAGCGGTGCGGGCCGGGTCGGCCGGGCGTGGCGTCCTCGCTGCAGTGAGCAAGGTCCCAATGAGTGCCTGTGCGTCGTCTCGCGGCGCGTGGGCGTCGGGGCCTAGCTGAAGTACTCCGAAAGGCAGCGAGGCGGGATCCTTCTGCTGACGTAAAATTCTGGTCCTGCGTCCGGCACCGACGTTAGTGATACTGTGACCCCGGCCTGGGTGCAGCGTAAAGGTCCCCGCGGGATCTGGGTGGACATGACTCCCTGAGACAGTAGAACTTTGTCCCCCATCCGCACCCGGGCAGGTCTGCCCCTCCTCTCAGAGGCATTCGCTTTTGGTCAATGCCAAGGTCCCGTAAACGTGTGTAGACACCCCACGCCGCAGGGCCACAGTTCACCTGGGACCCTCCATCCACTGCGTGGGGGTCGCGCAGGAAGGCTCGGGGGACAGCGGGGAATGGAGGATTGTATGAGGGCCAGGCTGTGCAGTGCTTAAAGAGGTTGCGGTGAGGAGCTTGAGAACAGCCAGAGGTGTCACCTAAACTGAGTGGGCCACAGGTGGCAGTGGGTGACAGACAGGTTCCATAGCACTCATGGCTCTTCTTCTCGTAGCTTCTAAGGATCCTGCTTTTCCAAGCCCAGAAGACAGTACGTGAAGCCAGGGACGTCAGCCATGCTGCAAACAGCTTGGCCCCAGGTGAGCTGAGCTTCCTTTCAGTCACACTGGCTCTGAGGGAATGAGGAAAGCATGGAGATGGGCTCATTTGGCCACACTTTGGCTTCCCCTTTGGTTCTGAAACCAGGGCTGTGGCACATGGAAAGTGGTGAATTTAGATGTGTAGATATAAGTGGAAGACTGGAGACTCAAGCCTGGAAATTCTCCCTGAATGTGACATCAGATTGTGTTCTACAAAAAATAGTCACCCCCATCAGAGAGCTTGTTCATTGAAGAGGTTGCCCCACAGATAGTGGGTATATCTCGGAGATAGCAGTGGTGTTGTGTGAGAGCATTTTGTAAATGCTAGATGCAAAGGGCCGAAGTGGGGGAGTAGGCTGGGTGTCCTGTAGAAACAGGAATAGCTGAGAGAAAGTGTTTCAGAAGAGGTCAAAGAAGGTGGGAGAGGTAGGCACTGGTAATGTAGGCCATAGTGAAGATTCAGAGACTGTTCTGAGTCCAATGGGAGTCCACTGAGGAGTTTTAAGCAGGGGGAGGTAACATGGTGAGATTTATATGGTGAAAAGATTTCACCCCTTAGTAGTGAATTGGTTGTGGATGGGTGTGAGTCAGAGGATATTGTAGCTCAGGTATTGTTTGTTCATTCATTATATTTATTTTTGAAATAGTTTTTATTTGAAAAAAATTTATAGAAGATTTAGGTTCAAGGGGAAATTGAGAAGAAATCACTAAGTTCCCAAATACCTCTGTCACCATTCAGGGCATAGTCTCCAATTCTGTACAGTCTGCACAAGAGTAGCACATTTGTGGCTTTTGAGGGGGCAAATTTTATTTTTCATTCACCATATATTAATAAAACGAGGGAGTTCCCTGTGATAATTCTGTATATGTGTCCAGTGTACTTAGAACCAAGTCTCTGCTCCACTATATCCCCATACCCTCTCTCCCTCTTCCCCTCTCATTCAAACAGGGTTTGGTGAGTTTCCTTATTTTGTCCTCATATCTATATATGCAGAGTACTTCATCCTCTTCACCCCTCAGTATATTTCCTTTTCCAGAGTGGTACATTTGTTACAAGGGATGAAGCTTCGTTCACACATCATTATGCCCTGAAACCATAGTTTATATTCACTCCTGGTGTGGATATCCTACAGGGTTTGAACAGATGTTTAATGACATTATCCATCATTATGGGATCCTACAGAATAGTTTCACTGCCCTAGAAATGTTCTGTGTGTCTCCTATTGATCCCTCCCTCCACCTTGACCTCTGACAATCACTGATTGACCTTTCTTCCATAGCACTGTCTTTTCCAGAATGACATATAGCTGGTTGAGAAAGCGTATAGCTTTTTCACATTGGCTTCTTTCAGTTAGTATGATTCCAGGTTCCTCAGTAATTGCATGGCATGCTAGGTCATTTCTTTTTAGTGCTGAATAATATCCCATTGTCTGTACAACTTTATTGATCCATTCACCTACTGAAGAACATCCTGGTTGCTTCCAGTTCGGGCAGTAAAGAAAAGCTGCTTTACTTGTCCATGTGTAAGGCACAGGTTTTTCCTGCTACTTTGTTAGAATATCAAGCAGCATGATTGCTGGATCACATGGGAAGAAGATGTTTAGTTCTGCAGGCTGCTGTCCACCTGCCTCCCAAGCCTCTGTACTATTTTGCATTCCCACCAGCAATCAGTGAGAGTTCCTGTGTCTGTTTTGGTTTTTGCCGTATTGGTAGGTCTGTAGTGCTCTCTCTTTGTCCTTTTAATTCACAGTTTCCTAACAACATAGACTATTGAGCATCCTTCAAGTGTCTATTTGCCCTCTGTGTTTTCTTTGCTGAGTTATCCACATTTTGACAGTGAGGAATAAAGCTGCTCTAATAGTACATGGGCAGGCATAGGTTTTTCTGCCCCTTTGGTAAAATACCAAGGAGCTTATATAATGTTGAGCATTGTCCTTTCAATTTGCAGTTCCTTAATGACATATTAATGTTGAGCATCTCCTTTTTGGGGGTGACAGGTGGACCAGCTAGTTTAGGAGTATCAGAGACTGACCATGCCCATCTGGGACTACACTGGGTCCTTATGGAAGGGTTCAGAGGCTCTGGCTTTCTGTGTGGTTTTTGAAACAGCTGAGCCCCAGTCCAAGTTGTGGGAAGGCGTGCATGTAGCCAGCAGAGAAACAGTAAAGATGTATTGAACGATTTGGGGGAAGTTGGAGAATTTGAGAAGCTGTTCTCTGAAATGGAGGCAGAAATAGGTCTTGATAAGGTTTAGTGTTTAGTCATTTTTTGGAAAAGTTTATGAGCCTAGTACAGGAAAATGTATGAGAAAAACTCAGGTTTGTTTCAACAGATTTGGATTAAATTCCTACCTCTACCACTTCCTGGCTGTTCGATTTTGGCATAGTAACTAATTTTTCTGAACCAACTCTCATCACTTGTAAAATGTGAATAATAATTCCTACCTCACTTATGTTTGTAAAGGATTACAAGATTTAAAGTCACCCAGCTAGGAACCTGGCCCACTGTAGCTAATCAACAAGTGTTTGCTCACTTCAGTCTTGGGAGGGAAAGAGAGGCAAAGCCAGTGACAGCAACAGCTTTCAACAGCTTTGTTGGTGGGATGGAACTGAGAAGACTCTGGGATGGATCTGTGCTCAGGAACAGGAAACTGCCAGCCTGTTTCTTAAGACAGATGATTCAACCAATGACCAGAACAGGCAGACTACAGGTTTCTTTCAAGAGAAACAATTTCTTACAAGTCAGAAAGGTAGAAAAGAGAAATGTGCAAAATACTGACAGTGTTAGTGAGCAGGGACAAATCTGTTCCCTCTGGACAATATTGGAAGAGACTGCAGAGAAGCTGGGTACAGGGAAGAAATGGGGCTGTGCATGTGTGGTGTGGATGGGTAGAGAAAGGGTGAGTGGCTGCTGTCCTTAGTGAATAGTGTACAGACAGTAAGGTGACAGGCTATGGAGGACATGAGGGTGTAGGTGACAGAGGACAGATCCGTACAGCCAGGAACACAGGGGTTGACATGGTTACCAGGGACAGAACACAATGCCAGGCTGTGCAGTGGAATAACAGTGTGGGGCCCTAGGTTTATAGAGGTGGGAGAATGCTGGAGCTCTAGTTAAAGGAGGAACACTGACTGGGGATCTGAGGACTTTTCTTGCTAAAGCAAACCTTCAATTCGGCCCAGTGTTGTGGGCGCTGAGAGGGCTACCCCTTCCTGCAGCTCAGACTGCCCTCTCCTGCCCTTTATTGGGAGCTTGAGCAGGATTCTGTTGTTTCAGGAGTTGGTGTCCTTTGAGGATGTGGCTGTGTACTTCACCCAGAGTCAGTGGGCCAGCCTGGAGCCTGTGCAGAGAGCCCTGTACAAAGACGTGATGCTGGAGAATTATGCAAATGTGGCTTCCCTGGGTAAGGCCTCTCAGGGGCCCTTTATGGGAATCAGATATGGACCTCAGAAGCTTTGGAAATCCTCATATCCCTTAGGTTTGATGATTTAAGGAGGAAAGTCTGTGATCACCATCCTCCAGCTGAGCTGGGTGGGGAAGGAAATACCTGGTTCCCTTGACTGTTTTTTTTGTTTGGTTGGTTTTTTTTTTTTTGGCAATTTTGGGATTTTAACTCAGGACTTCACACTTGTTGGACAGGTGAGTCACTCATTTTGCCAGTCCTTTTTTGTGCTGAGTATTTTTAATCTAGGGTCTCGTGAACTATTTGGGATGGTTCTGAACTGCTATCCTCCTGATCTCTGCCTCCTCAGTAGCTATGATTACAGGTGTGAGCCACAGTGCCCGGCTCCCTTGAATTTGAAACTGGACTTCCTTATACTACAGGGAAGGGTGTGGTTCTGAGCCCTGAGGACAAAGCCTTGAGGAGAAGGTCCTTTCCTGGCATTCCAGGTGAGCTCTTTGTTGCTCCTTCCAGTTTTGGAGGCATTACCCTCTCCTTTATGGAAGAGTTCCCAGAAAGTTGTGCATACACCCTTCTTAAGGGACTCTCCTTTCTTCTATATCATGGCTAGATCCCTGCTTTTTCCTAAGGAGAGTGCTATCTCCTTGGCTTCATATGGGAGTAAAATATGGACCCCTCTCTCAGGCTCCCTGTTCAGCTCATCTGATCTCCTGAGTGCTCTATTTCTCTCCCTGTTGACTGGATGGAGGGTGGGCTGAGATGCCTCAGGAACAATGCTGGCTGTCTCCTCTCAGTTTGTGTTTCTTCCTGAAGTAGCACATCCCTTCCACAAACCTGTTCTCATCTCCCAGCTGGAAAGAGGGGATGCACCATGGGGTCCAGATCCCTGGGCCACAGAGCATCCAACAGGCATGAGTCCTGGTGAGTAAGAGCCTAGTGGCCACAACTGATAACACCCAGCTTCTGTTCCAATTGCCTTTATGAAGATAATTTTTTTAATTCTAGAATATTGTGTAGAATATTTAAAAATAAAATGACTATGGCATTACTTAGGTGTTTGGCTGGGTGGAGTATCAGATCTGTTTTTGTTTGGGTTAGTTCTCAGTCTGTGAGCCCTCTTACTGTGCTGACCTGACTCTACTCTTCAGAGTCTGACATCTCCTTCCTCTCTGGGTCTCTGTCTCTCTGTCAGCCTTTGAAATGTTTTCTGTTTCTTCGTGAGCCCTCTTTGATCTCATTTTTTGTTGTTGTTTCCCTTCTTGCCTTCTCTCTTCCCATTCCTGAGCTCCTTCTTCACATTTCCTCTGCTTCACTTCATTTCCCAGCCCTCCTCTGGGGGACTTCTTCACTATCTGTTCTATCTGTCTCTGGTGTCTTCATTTGTCAGTTGTATGTCACTATTTTTCATTGTCTGTCCTTCTCATTTATGGATGCTTGTAGCTATTTCAAGGGTACATTTCTAAAAATCATCCTGCAAGAGGAAATTGGGATTCCTGGACCTTGTTTTTCTTCCATTTCAGTGACCAGGACCCCTGTGTCTCTATAATAGGTGGTGAATCCTGGATCAAGAATGAAGAGACCCTTATAAAGCAGGAAGCCTCTGAAGAGATGGGGTTGCACAGAACATCAGGGGAAAGATTCCCCAGAAACCTTTCTCAGCACCTTGATGCTAAAAGCAAGACAGTGAGGCCTACTTTCATTCTAAATCCAAACCTGATACTTCGTGGTGGCATGAAGTTCTATGAATGTAAAGAATGTGGGAAAATCTTCAGACATAACTCAAAGCTTCTTCGACATCAGATGAGTCACACTGGGGAAAAGCCCTTCAAATGTAACCAGTGTGGCAAAGCTTTCAAGTCAGGCCATGAATGTATGGTCCATGAGAAGAACCACGTTGGGGCGGGGCCCTATGAATGTAAGGAGTGTGGAAAAGGGTTGAGTTCCAACACAGCCTTAATTAGGCACCAGATGATCCACACTGGAGAGAAGCCCTATGCATGCAAGGAGTGTGGCCAGGCCTTCCGCAGGAGCGCAACCTTCCTTCAGCACCAGAGGTTACACACAGGGGAGAAGCCCTACCAATGTAAGGAGTGTGGTAAAGCCTTCACTCGGAAAATAACATCCGTTCAGCACCAGAGAGTTCACACTGGGGAGAAGCCTTATGAATGTAAGGTGTGTCGGAAAGTTTTCAGATGGCATGCAAATTTTGTTCAGCATCAGAAATTGCACCCTGTGGAGAAGAAGCCCCTCAAGGCTCTTCGGCCAAGCCTGGACAGTCCCCAGTGCCTCTCTCCAGCCTTAACTCTGGTGCCTCTCCAGGGGCGCGGCTCCACTCCAGCTATGGCTATGCCTTCCCTAACTGCTCCTCATGCAGTACTCATTTCTACCTCTGGGCCTTTCTTCATGCTCCTGCCCATATCTGGAATGCCTTCTTCACCTGCCCAGATAGTGCATGTCTTCCAGGGCCTTAGTCCTGTAAAGCTTCCCCCAATTATTCTGACCCCTTCTCACCCCTCATGAACTTCATCTTGGCACCCCTGTGACTGATAGAGCAGATCACCAATCTGACTTGAATTTCATTTTATTTTTTGTTCACTTTACATCCATTTCTGCGTAAACTCCATTATAGTCTATACACATTTAAAGTTTGTGTTTCATTTTAGTAGAATATCTGCAGACCTGAGAAAGGAGAATCCTAAGCCACCTTGGAAGAAGTGGAGCAGCCATCTATCGTTTATGCTAGAATATCCCCTAGACTGAACAATTGGGAAATCATGGGTCTTTGGCATTAGCAGATGCTGGCAGGGCTTAGGACAGGAATTGGCTAAAAAGTCATGCATCTCTGGTTGCCTCCTCTATTTCCTCATTATCTGGAAAAGTAAAATTGTATTTTGGAGGACAGTTGTACCAGGCTGCCATACTGAATGGCTCTTTTCCATCACTCTTTAACTTTTTTTTTTTTTTTGAGGTACCAGGGTTTGAACTTGGGGCCTCCATCTTGAGCCACTCCACCAGCCCTTTTGTGTGATGGGTCTTTTCAAGATAAGTTCTCGCAAACTGTTTGCCTGGGCTGGCTTTGAACCACAGTCCTCTTGAGTAGCGAGGATTACAGGCTACCCTGTAACTTTCTGCCTCTATTTCTATTATAAATTCTTCCATCCAGGCTTATGTATACTCTAGGATGAAAATCAGAAGAACTTTGTTTGGGGAATCTGTTCAGAGTAAGTGACAAGGCCATGGTACCGACAGACATCTCAGATTCCCTAATGAAATGGCCCTATAGAAAAGTCCCAATTACACACACACATCTTTTTTGAATGCTCCATTCTTAGGTATAAACAAATAAATAAAAGAGGCTGAAATAAGTGAGACTGAAAAAAACAGTAATAAAGCTCACTTGAAGGAGACAACTGCAAGAAGAGGTAGACTTGCTATCCTAAGACTGGAGGAGATGTTTGCATCCCTGAACAATCACATGCTATAAAAAAAAGGAAAGTTCAGGAAATAAAGAGCTCTTCAAAACTAGAAGTTCATATCAGAGACACTCAGTATAAGTAATGGAAAAGAAAGTTAATAGAATCATCCAGAACATACTTAACATAAAAATGGTGAAAGTAGCAAAGAGAGGTCAATGGTTTGGTGGCTATCAAGGAGAGAGGTGGAGAGTCGGAAAAGAAATAATTTGGTAGTTCTTGCCTATATCCTCACATTGAATGCTTGGGCTCCATGGCTTCATTAGCACTTACTAAGATGACACTCTTAGTACCTAAAGGAAGGCTTCCCCAACTCAGGCCCCCAGGTCTGTACTAGCAGGAATGATCCATTCCCCTTTGTATTCTCTATCTCCTCCCAGCCAATATTGTTATACAAGTGCTAAAGTCTCAGAATAGTATCAACATGGCCTGATGTTGATCTTAGTCACTGAACTTCCAGAATAACCCTCAATTCCTGCAAATGTAATCCCGTATCTCTGCCCATTCCCCCATGTTCATCTCTTACCTTTATCTAATGACAAAAAAACTGTTCATTCTGCTCTCTACAACTGGCCGCCCACTGACAGCAAAATTATATATCTTGGACATCTCTGAACATTATCTTCTTCCTCTAATCCTTGAGGACACCTTCCCCACCCCCTCTGAACTGGTGGTCACTGTCTTCCACAAATCTCATGCCAGATATCCAGTATCTTCTGTTTCTCTTTGGCAGTTTCAGGCCATTCTTCACCAGTCTACTTTCCTAAATGCCTCCAGCTTTGAACCCTCATCAGGCTGTAGTGCCTAACTTCTGCATCACTTGTTCATTTCATGGAGATTATACATAAAGATCTTAATATTAAAGGTGTGTAGCACTTTAACATCATTCTTGTTTTAATTGTTGGTGATTTCAAGAGAGAACTTTCTAGTATCCTTCATATTTCATTTTTCGTCCTCCATTTTACCTCAACCACTCACCTTTGACCATAGCCTAGCCCTTGTGACCACCAAAAACATCACCCCTCTGTGACCTCAGCACTCTGTTACCTATCTTTAGAAATTTATTTCATATAGGATCATGATGCTCACAGTCCTTTACCCTTGTTCTTCCTTTTTCACTGACCTTCACTCCCTTGGACTTGTTCTTTCCTCTGTGATACATGTCCATTCTTTATCATGCTTAAATAGTCAATACTTGCAATAATTCCATTACAGTCTCCCTTACTCCCTTGCTTCTCTTGCTCTGTCATGCTCAATTGGCAGAACCCCAGCTCTGACTAAGTATACTTCTTTGCCTTGTCTGCTCCTGCACACATGCTACCAAAGTGATTGGGAAAGAACACAGGGCCATCCTCAATTGTGTCATTATAAATTCATGACCAGTAGCTTCAAGTAGGCCCTTCATGTCTCTTGACCATCTACTCCATTTCTGGTGTTCATGTAACTCCTCCAGTTTCCTAGTTTCCAGTTTCCTCTCTTACATGCTTCGTAAAACCCCAACACCTTCTCAGTCCTTGCATTCAACTGGTGATTGTGGTTCTGACCTTTGCTGGAGAACAGTCAGCTCCAGAGAGTGGCTGTGCCTTAGCCTAGTGCCAGGATGAGTAGACATGAGCCAGTTGGGCCAGATGACCTATAAGTAACTTAGTCTGTCGATCTACTTTTCATTTGTACTATCTGACCCTTGAATTTACCACCATGTTCTCAGTCACTCCTACTAAAAGCAGTTCCCTGTTTTTAAGGGTCTGTCCTGTTTCTGTGTCAGATAATATTCAGTTATAGCCAACTGAACACTAAACAAGTAGACTGGGATTTGCTACATGCTGTTTGTTAGCTTACAAAATTTCTAAGAAGGGACAAAGCTGGGATGATATCTAGGCAGAAGCCAAGGAAACCCAGTAAATATACCACCAAATGGTTCTAGTGGAAATACGGCGACTGCTGCTACCTACCACTGAACTGCCAACCCCACTGACAACAGATTTCCTTCAGGTTGTTGAGGAAAAGAAAAAACGCCACTATGTTCATTTTGGTAATCTTGGATCTTCTGATATTTTTGCCTTCTGCAAGAGTGTTCCTGCTCAGTGGAAGTTGGTTTTGTTTGTATTCAAGTAGCAGGCACTTCTGGGAAATACTTTTTGGATTCTACCTGGAAAAGAAAGTCATAATGTACAGAAGTCCTATAATGGGCAGCTATAATTACCAGATTTCCATTAGTAAAGGGTGGGTCAGGAAGAACAACAGCAGATATTTTTTAAATGAATTTATGAAATTAAAAGTAATACCAAACTTCCAGACATGGGTTGTGTGAGTATGTGTGACAGGGAAAGAGGTGGTGGGGAGAGAAAATTATATAAAAGAACAAAAGAATTTTGAATTCAGTTGGGGGTTTTCGGCCTAACATGTTATATGTAATGATCATCAAAGATGGGACAAAGCAGCCCCCACAAGCCCTACAAAACAACCTGAGTGGTGAAAAATACATCCACTGTAATACATGATTCGTAGAAATTTTTTAGATCAGTGTGCTCTTTAGGAAAATACACATTATATACAAACAGCAGAACATATAGCAAGATTAAGCCTTAGTGGTAGAGCTAAGAAAATAATAGCTCTTTTTCTCCATTCTAACTGTTACTCTCCTGCTACTTCTCTCCTCTCCTGCATCCCAGGAAGCTGGTCCTCAGTGTTGCCTGCCAGTTATTCACACCCTGTGTCTTTGCTGCCTATTTCCTGGCTGAAAAGAGATGTTTGTTTGGGCAGTACTGGTTGGTGATTGAATTCCTAGCCTCTCGCTAGGCTAAGCCACACCCCAGGGTTTTCCCCCCAAGTTTAAATAACATCTCCAACTTTTGCCCAGGCTAGCTTTGGACCACCACCCTATCTCCTCCAGAGTAGCGTGGATTATAGGCATGAACCATGATGCCCAGCCAAAATGTGGTTTCTTAATATTCATGTAAAGTAAATCAGTACTAATAAAGTTCGTGTCTGTCCTGAAAGAGGTTACGTAATTTGTTTTAATCTAAAAATGCTGTCATTTGAAAAACCGATGAGTAAATAGATTGCCTAAAGTAGCATTCCAACAATTTTATTACATGATACCCAATTGTAAGACTGTCTCATATCTCTTAAAAGAGCCAGTAACTAGTGTTACAGTGTCATTTCTGTTGCTCCACTTTCTTGTTGCAGTGAATTTGTGGTGTTAGAGGAAATGTCAATGGACCCAGAGTTTCAACCTACTCCATTTTGCTAGCTCCAATAATAAAAAACTATATAATACACTTCTGGTGATATATCCATATGGGATATTTAAGCATAGGGCATCACAAGCTAGACTTTTATTTTTTATCTCAAGTTTGTGTGAAAAGACATGAGACTCCAGAGACAATGAGTAGCCTTGTTCACAGTGTCTTGGTTGGGGACAGAACTGAAGCATTTGGTTGCCCACTTTCAGCTGTGATGTGAACTTTCTAAGAATAACAGCCTCAAGTATAGCAGGAGTTTTCAGTGCATCGAGTAATGATTTACGTGAGGAAAAATTTTTTTCTTTCTGTTATTTTGTAGGCAATCTTAGTTATAATTTGTTCTTCAGTGACTACTAGCAAATTGGTTAATTATGGAGGGAGTGATAGACATTAGATTATAAGAGTGTAAGTTATAAGCATGACGTGTATAGGCAGCAGAAATCTGAGACCACATGTGCTCATGTCAGAGAGGGGAGGTCTCTGCTGCTGGGTCTGAGGACAGATCTTATTTTCAATACGGTGCTTAATTGTTGTACAGACAAGTTAGAAGAGGTTCCTACATCATTTGTATTGATTGTTTCTTTTTATAATATTGATTATGTAAGCAGTTTTAAAATTTAAATTAGGATATTAATTTTCTAATAGCAATATAAACTTAGAACAAACAAACAGGCAGATACCTGTGGCTCACACCTATAATCCTAGCTACTTGGGAGGCTGAGATTGGGAGAACTGAAAAATAACCAGAGCAAATTGACTGGAGGTGTGGCTCAAGCAGTACAGCTCCTCCTTTGCAAGAGCAAAGCCCTGAGTTCAAACTCCAGTCACACAAACACACATAAACAAAGAGTACCTAGGTCAGGGTGTCAACACTTAATACTTTGTTGAATATACACATGTGTACACCAACAAAATCACAGAATCACCCTCGTGCACACACACAAATTATACATTCTCTATCATAAATTCCATATTTTCAGTTAGCAGAATATCGTGCACAAGTCCCAGTCAACAAATAATCTAGAACATTATGTTTAATTGCTATGCAATATTATATTGTAGGGATTCATAGTCTTTATGTTACCAGTCTTTCCTTATTGAAGATTTGTAATGTTTGAATTTTGAATATCTTTTAGGTTCTTTGATAAATACTTTGTGCATATATGATTGATATCATTTTTATAAAGTTTATTTTTATACATTTTTAAATAAATGAAATAGATCAGATAAAGTAGAGCTCTGGTCTCTTGTTCTGCTTATTAATCCTCCATTGTTTTTTCAGAGTCAAATAATAAGTTACATAGTATGGATTCATACACTTAGGCAAATTTACATAAATACTATAGTACCAAAGGTAATAGAGACTGTTACTCCGTGTGCAAACATGTATGGTGATGCTATTTTAGTCTCCTTGTATCACTTGGCAACTTGTCCCCCTACTCAAGACCTTATGAATATTGGTCACATTCAAACAAAAATTAGCATAAGCACATGTGCAGGATACCCC